AACGATTTAAAAAAACTTAAAAACACCATTTTCAGTCTGTTTTTTTTCTCCAAAAATTTGGCTGCGGCGCAGTAATTAATGACAAAATAGCGTCTTTATACAATTTTAGAGTGTACTTGGAAGATGAAATTGCTCAATCTAAAAAAGAAAAAAAAATCGAAAACCCCCTCTTGAAAATTTCTTTCGCCACTGGCTGAAATATGATGAAACTTGCACATTTCAGCGTGAAACAAAAAAAAAATCAGGGGATTGGTATATGGGGAGCAGAAAGAGACCAAGGAGTTTCACGAGGTTAGATTTTCGACAAATTCATCGACCTTAATTTTAGGCCGACGAAAATGATTTCCGAATTTCTCTGAAACATTAAAGAGTATAATTGTCAATTTTTTCAATGCCGTAAGGAAATCTTGAGAACATCTGCAACATATGACCTAGGCTCTTTTTCGAACAAAATAAGTTTATTATTTGCATAGGGTTCTTGGTCCATAAACGTATATCGTAAAAATAGCACAAAAAAGATAAATTAGGTGTCGTTCAGGGCCGGACTACGGTGAGGAGGCATGGACGCCGGCTTCGGGATTCGACCTAATGCTGACCCAAAGGAACCACGTTTGGTACTAGTTTAGGACATCCAAGTTTGGCTGACCGACACTACACTTATTCTAAAGGCGCCGAAAAACGCAAACGCAAGTTTTTGGTAAAAACAATCCAAAAAGTGCCTAAAAAGTGTTTTTTGGCCTGTCTTTTCAAAAATTTGCCAGCGGCGCAGAGAAAATGGTAAAAGTGGGGTCTTTTATAGTGATTTGGGAGATCTCAGAGAATCAATTTGGTCGACCTAACAACAAAAAAAAGTTGACAGAATTATCGAAAGTTTGTCAAAAATCCAAAAATCTCCCCTCGAGAAAATTCTAGATCCGCCCCTGCTGACGATGGCGACAAATTCTTTCTTGATTCTGTTATTGACGAGGAGTCCAATTACACCTTTTAAATTAATGACCAAGTAATAAAAGAGGTTTTAGTTTTGTTTGTAGGGACCGCAGGGTTTATACCAGAACAAAAACGATTTTCTATAATTCAAATATTAATGCATTTCTTAAACACCATCAGGGCAAAATTAAGAAAAAAAGATCAGGAGAAAACTGTTTAGTAGATAAAAAGGAAAACTTTTAGAGAAGGAAAATCATATTAGGGCATGCTTCTACGCCGTCGGCCCCGTTGATTTTATCCCCCCCGTTTATACCCCGTTGATTTATTCACGAAGCAATACTGAGATGATTTCAATTGTATCTCCAAGAACATAGGCAACTGACAGTTGGAAAAAAGTAATGAACGCAAAGAAACAGAAAAAAAAAGATTTAAAAAAAAAAACACCTCAGTCTTCGAATTTCTAAGAAAAAAATAGATGGCCTTAAACCTCTTTGAATTTCTAGAACAATTTATAACTGACTTTTTTTCATGAAATCAACCCAATTTGAGACACAGAGACGAAGTTGCACTTCGACTACACAAGCAAAAACATGATCGATAATTCTACTGAGAAAAATTGAATGAATAAAACATTGAGTCTATAAAATTTTTGAAGTGACGCACGGCAATTACGAGTCTACATAATTGCTAAAAGACGCAAGCCAATTATGAGGCATTAGCAGTACCAGTCAATATAAAAAAAAGATTTTACCAATTAACCTGCCTCAATTTATAGAGCGGACGCATTTTAACTAGTATACGAAAAACATCCGACTCTGCCCAGGTTCGACCCCTCTTATTTTGTTGCGGGTCTCCTCCCCTACCTCTACGCAAGACCTTGAAGCTATTTGTAACATAATAGTTTGTGTTAAAATCATTAGCATTGGTTAAACTTAATAGCTGGTTATTGATCAAAATGAACACAATCACAGTAATTAGATTTTTTCGCACTAAAAATTGCGTCACAACAGTATTTGCTGTTTATGTTGGAAAAAAGACAGTTCATATTATCACACAAGCTTTGCTTGTGTAATAAGGATAATTAAAGCTCTTAGAACTTCATGAATATTTATTGATTGACACTTGCTGGATGAAACCAACCTATTTTGAGAAAAATGGATCAAATCAATCGGCAATTTTTATCACCCTCGGAAACCTAAACTTAGGATCCCTTTCTTATACAAAAAAGTCCTTGATGTTTTTCACACCACTTACACTTTCGTTCTTGGACAGCTTTATTTTCTCTTTTCATTTAGCAAATGAATTTGACGTGAAACGAAAAAGAAACCGAAAAGTCGTCAGAAAACTTAAAGACTTTTTGAACAGTATACGACTAAATTTATGGAAATTCGCTCCACTCAGAAACTTTCTAAATGAAAAAAATGTCAAACCCCAATCCTATCAATTTCTGAAAAAAAAATTATTTAATTTTATTTAGATCATTGTTTATTTCACTGAGCTACAAAAGAAAACTTTCACCAAAAAATTATGGTAAAAAAATCATCTTTTAGAATAAATATTTAACACAGAGGCGAAACGGGGCTTCGCACCACTTGCGATACAACAGAAACATGAAAAAAAACAAAAAAAGCCGCAAAAAGGAAGTTTAATCCAGGCAAGCATGCCAGACACTTGAATTTTAAAACAGCAACCATGTCACAAAAATAACAAAAAGAATTAACGCCGACAATCTTTGAGCAGAAACAAACTGAACCGAAAAAAAAAGATTTTTTAAAGAAGTTTAAATTCCCACTTTAAACAAGAATGGACAACATTGGCATTGGCAACTACATTGAATTTATTTACAGCACAAGAAAAATCAATGTGGCAACTAAGTCAACAATCTTTGAGCTGAAATCACTTGAACAAAAAAATGATTTTTTTGTTTTTTTTTAGAAATCTTTCAAGTCCTCCTTGAAACTACAATGAACAGCACTCGCTTGCACTTGCAACTACAACGAAAGTTGCTGTAAGCAACATACAGCAAAAAAAAATCAGCGATGTGTGAACCAAGCCAACAATCTTTGAGCAAACACCAACTGAACCAAAAAAAAAGGTTTCATGAATTTCTTTTTAATTTTCAAGCCCCCCTGAAATTAGAATGAACAACACTTGCACTTGCAACAACAATGAAAATTGCCTACAGCACAAAATCCGTTGTGTTAATTTAACCGACAAAATTTGAGCGACAAACGGAAAACCAGCAATTCGTTTTCTCGGAACTTTTTTTTAGAATTTCCTTGATACTGAAAAAAAACAAGGTCTGGCCACGACTCGAACCCCAGACTTTAGTGTACAAAGGCAACTGATTTACCTCCAGGCCAAAGGGGCAGCAACATGCAACGCTAATAGAAGAGAATATAAGTGAAAAAAGTCAGCTCATTCCAGTTTGGTAACGCGCTTGCTTATCGCCAGCATAATGACTATGAAAACAGTTAATTTTTGCCCGGTTTTGCCGGATATAGCTGGAGCTTTCACGACGTCAACCTGATAAAATACTCGCATTCTTAGAAAATTTAGGATAGATGATTGCAAAGAGAGTAGCGCGGATTTCAAACTCAGTCTTGTGAAAACCACTGCGTAACTGCACGAAACAAGGAGTTTCTTCAACAACTATCGAACATTGAACATATGGCCACTGTACTGCACAAACGCATTTATTAATGAATTAATTTATACCTCCTATTATTTGTTTAAAAATAAAAATTGCAGTTTTTCCTGTATAGCAGAAAAATTGCGAAAATCAAAAACAAAACTTGAAAAGTTGTACAAAATTCAGGAAAATATTGTTGAGCAACTACACAAAACTTTCCAACCAGAGTAACTATCCATCCAATTTTTTGGTGAAATTTTTATCGTATAAAACAAAGTAACTTTCTTGAGTAATTGAAGTTATGTAAGAATTGCAGTTTTTTTAATACTACTTTTATAATACTAGTTTTTATAATACAATTTTTTTAATACTACTTTGCAGAAATAATTTTTTTTCTACAAACGGAAACGTCCAATTGCCATATTCGTAACAAAAAATATCTGAAAAAATCTCTAGATTGTGATATTATTCATTTCAGTTTTTTTCCGAACCCTTAAGTCATACTAAATTCAAACTGCAAAAAGAAATTTTTCTGTGGAATGTTCAAAACTAAGTTTTCTAGTTTTTCTTTGTTTGTCTGCACAATTAGACATTTTTGTTCATATGTGAGTTGGATGGGAACGCCAACTCGGAAACAGTTAACAAGTCGTATTTATTTAAAATCTTTGAGAAACTAATTTTCAAATACTAATCAAATCACGACTGATGTTGCTGAAAAAATTGTGACTGCATTTTAAAATTCCGACTGAATCAACCCATATGAAAAATTAGGTACCCAATTTTATAGATTTTTAAAAAAATATTTAACTAACATTAGTGAAAGAACTCAATGATCTCGAATCGCGTCTGAAAGGGCTGCAAAAACTCATAAATTTTTCAAACCTATTTGACGCTTATTAGTGGCATCTTGATTTGTGCGGAATCGAAGTAAGAAAGCATAAAGACATCAAAATACAAAGGTCCTTCCCAATTAGTGGTCGGTTTGTCAAACTTAAGACGCCATGATTTCCGTAACCGAACACTAGATGTTCAGAAATTACATTCTGAAAAACTTATCAGATAATTTATGATCTAAAAATTATTCATAGAAAAATTAAAGATCAAATTTAAACAAGTATACCGGGTTGCTGTGCAATTAGCATTATATTTCGACCAATTAGTTTTGCGTTGCGTTTTTCAAATTCTTTTTGAATGTCTACCGTTTTTTTTGGTGAAGCTGAAGGAAGATGCATACTTAGTTTTACTTACTGCGTAGTTACTTCAACTTAATTACTATATTTTCAGCTGTTGATCTTGCATAAGCAAGCTTGAAAAAAACTTCGCAAAAATTTCTATTTTCTCCCATACTTCAGACCGCCGAAATATTTTTCTTATAATTCAAGGCCTCAGAAGAGAATCAATTAGAAAGGGACATATTGGCGACCACTATTGAATTTCAAAACAGAACTCGAAAAATCTAAATTAGAAAATATCTAGATGAACATAGCCAAAAAACAGCCTGGAACTGTAGCGAAATCACAGAACCTCATTGAATTTTCAGAATTTTCGTATGACTGGTACTTTATTCATAAAACAAAGTTAACGCGATAAGACTGGATCAACATTATTTTTTGCTCCGCTGCAAAAACTTTAAAAGCCATTTTCTACATAAACAGTTAATCACCTTTTCTTTTTGCGCCATATCCATTTTCGTTATTGGAGAGCTTGATTTGCCTTCCTTTTAGCAAATGAATTGAATTGAATTGAACACTAAAGATAATAAAAGTCACACTACATCAAATTCGATTGATATAAAAAGTCAAGAATCAATTCAAACTTTATTAACCTTTTGCAGAAAAAATTCGCACGAAGTAAATAATTGACAATTAATCATTCATTCATACCGTTTTGCTGGGAAAAGAAAGTCTCAAAAATTGTTCACGCTCGAATTTGATTCTTTACTGCTAAGGTCAATTCATTTGATTAATGTTCTAATTAATGTTCCAAGTTTTCTCTAATTAGATTAATTTAATGAGTGAAAAGTCAAGAAAAAGAGATTCTTGAAAGTCAAGGAGCTTCGATCTGATAAATTTTTCTCTCCGAAAATTGTAAGTTGAAAATTTTCAAAAATTCTATCATTTCTTCGGTTTCCGTGAGTTCATTGGCACTTGAAAACACTATACTTTTCAATAAGTTTTCCAAAAATTTTAATAATCAAACCCTAATTTTATAGAAAAATGCTTCCGCAGGTTATGAGTTCAGATTGTTCATGGCAGAGTTCACAATATTGTAATTCATTTCAATGTCGACAGTTTGCACCGAAACAGAGTCCGTAGAAATAACATCAGTTGCAACTGCTACATCTTCGCTTCTCACTCCGTCTTCGCAATTGGCAGCGGAAACATCATCATCAGTCTGACATCCTATATCAGTCATTTGCCATTTATACCCAGAAAGCCGTGGCCGCGGCAAATTTTCACATGGTCGTTCTTTAGAACGTTCCATAGGTAGGCCAGATCCGCTTAGACTTTGACGATGGTTTATCCCGTCATCACCCGAAGGTCCGACAACTTCGACGTCGGATCCGGAAGGCATGGATCTAAAGGGTTCTCTGACATTCTCATCTTGACCAGGATTTTGTGGCAAAATTGGAGCAACTGGTTCAGAATGAGCCCTTTGGAACTCGGTTGGCGGAATCCTTGGTATATCTTCGATTCCTGCTCTTATTTCAGGCGCGATTTGAGGTCTCTGGTTATTAATTTCCACTTCAACAAATGGTCCTCTAAATCTGACTTTGAATCCAAACCACACAAATATCACCAAGAGCGCGAAACCTAATGCAAAAGGAACGAAGTACCATGATATGTTAGTAGCAAAAGCTTGAAAACTTTGCCCCGCTGCTTCTGCACCGACCACCGCGACAGCACCTACCATTTTCGACCAAACTTTGGCTAACGAAACTCTATAAATTGGCGATATCAAAAGCATTTTGTTCAATTCTAAGCAAGGATCTTTTCCCAGGATCCAATTTAAGACAGACAGTTTATCGCTTTCATTGCAGGTATTGGTGGACATCAAACTCATATCAGTAGCCAGCTCTTCGAGATACGTGCGATACACTGCTACTAGAAAGTCAAAACAGATAATCATAAAACATGTCGACTTCCAACTGGCTCGCAGCATCATTAATCGGGGAATCAAATTATAGCAGGATAGTGAACTTGCCAATATTATAACAACGGTAATTAGGTATAAATGTGAGTCAGGTGCATAATATTCGTAAAATAATCGGATAGAGCTTTTATCAGAAGTTTTGAGGTATTTAAAACCATCAATTAGGGCATCTTGCATATCCTGAAGTTTTTTATTGTCGTGACTATCAATGAATTCAATTAGTTCCTTGACCTGGTCTTTTGAAATGGAAAGAGTTACTTCATATGTGATCGATCTTTCGAGACTAATGTCGCTAGCGCTTGGCATTTGTTTAAGAGGCAACAAAGTGCGTATGAATCGGCGAGTGAACGGGGCTTCTTTAAAGGCCGGATTCCTTGTGATCTCACATTGTCGCTGAAGAACTGTGATATTTTTAGAGGCTTCCTCCAACTTTTTCTGACATTCGTCCGCAACTCGATCCCTCACTTCACATTGGACCGTCTCAGAAGTTTCCTCATTTTGACCTCGTTTGAACATGAAATTTGATTCCTTTAATTTCTTGAAATCAGTTCCAAAAATACTTCCACGGCCTTCCAACACTGATGCTGTGGGTAGAATTATAATGCAAAAAACAAAAGTGCATAGAACGCGTTTCATGGTAACCTTAAACAGCAAGCTCTCAGAATTTTATTGGTAGCCACTAACTATAGCCTCAAACAATAAACTACAAATTCTTACTCAAAACTCAGCATAAAACATTATTGGTAGAAAGCAATAAATTAGGCCAATGTATAAAATTCTACAAAAACAATTCAGACGAAGTTTCAGACAGTCAACTCCAAATCAGCATAGAGCAAACTTATTTACAAACGAATCGTGTATTATTTTTTTAAATAAATACTATATTCTAACAAGACTGCTCGTATCAGTGCGAAGCCCTTAATGCTCCGACAGCCTTGTAAGATCTATAGAGCAGTAATAGCATGAAAAAAAAATAAATGTAATACATAAAACGAACTTTTTTTAATTTGAGATTTTAGGTGAAAATCATCCCCCCACACGCCATATAAGGTACAAAATGATAGACTTCGCTCCTAGTAACAAATCCATTATGGCAAATAAGCTTCCTTCAAGCAATTTGGAAGGATTTCTAAGATGGACTAAATCACCGCTTACGCGTTAATCGCGCGAAATATATCGTGCGTGCATAATTGTCCCAAATGGCCTCTTTAAACCCCCATAACTTTACAAAAAATGATCACAGGTGCAATATCTTTCCAAATTTAAGCTCAGGGCAATAATACCTTTTAAATGATATGAAAAAATTCCGTCAAAAACGGCTAATTAAAAAGTCCAAATTTGTCTGAAAAAAATCACCCCGAGCACAAACATTCCGTTACTTTCGTGAAGTAAGTCGGAACAATTAGCTAGCTTAGCAGTACCTAGAAAAGTGGTGAAAGTAAGAGAAGAAAGACATATAGAATCAAAACTGTTCAAATTGCGTCTCAGTTTTGGCTTTTTGAATGAGAAAATTTAGAGAAGAAGCATCTGTTTTAATGGCGGCAACTCTCATTAACATTCTGAGAAAACGACTGTTATGAAATGGCCAATTGTCAGCAATGACGACATGTAGAACACCCAATAGGTCCATCCGAACGAAACATTGTCGGGGAGTTTAAACTTCTCGCCTCCTATAGCGTCCATGTAAAAGCCAGCGGGGAATAGCACGACAGACACTGAGTTTAGAACGAGAGACAAGGCCGAGCAGACGACACAGAGGCGGCTGAGACAGGTGTTGTTGTTGATTCTGGACCAGCGTCTCACTACGCGGGGAAGAGTGAAGAGGAAGGCGAAGCCCTGGAGGATGGCCGACATGCCGATGAGGACAGAGGTGATCCACCACTCCACCGGCCTGTCATCCAAGTACGAGCAGTACTCCTCTCGCAGGTGCAGTCGGTCGCATTTTTTCAGCAAACCAAATTTCACTTCGCCTGAAGCAGAATAATGATATGATTAATTCCGTTTCAGTAAAACATTCGAATTATTTTTGCCAGAAACATCTGCAACGCTGACGGTTTTTGCATTTGCGATACATTTCAAAACAATGTTTCAAACTTGCAAATAAAACTTAATTGTTTTCGCAAATGAAGCTACATTTACAATTGATTTATGTAATTATTTTTTGCTTTCTTGTAGTTCGAACAAATTAATATTTTGGCGCAACCATATTGAAACAGCTTAGGGCATGCGCAAAATGTTTGATTCAATTGAAAGCATTTAGATTAGACTTGTATGTAGCTGACCTGTGTTGACTGGGTTCTCAATTCGTATCCAGTTCGTGCACCAGAAACTGATCACGGCCATCACACACGAGAGAAAGAGAACTGCCAGCTGCGAGAGCCCTCTAATGTTTGCCATCACAATCAAAAGCAACAAATCGGGTCTGAAAAGCAACAAATTGCAACCGTCGTGCATCAAACGCCACAGAACCATGCTTCAGTCGTCGCAGGGATAGATACATTCACATCTTTGTTTTTAATAACACTCAAACAAAACCAAGAATCCCTTTTTTCGACGTGAACTATTAATTTATTATCTGCCAAAAACCATCAGATATAAAAGCAGTCAAAACATGAATGCAATTTTAAAACAGAGGCAAAGTTTTCTTCACGAGCACAAGCAAAAAACGGCAAAAAGGGGCTGTAAAAACACGACTTATGAAATAAAATGCAAAAAAAAATCCTTGAAAGAAATGTACAAAGTAATCAGACCATTGGGTTCCTGTGCAAATCGCACTAGCACAGAATTAGCTGACAACAATGATTTTTTCAATGTTTTATTTACGTTTCCAAAATTTCCAGTTATAATTTTCTCTACAAAGAACGATCGATTTAGGTGGCGTAGTAAAATATGCATATGCAAAACTAATAGCTAAATAAATTAGCTAGAGAAAAATTAAATTCACTCCTTTATCTTGCAATCCCTCCCGCTTTTATGTTTAGAGGCGGATAGCTGGCTCTAGTTTGCGATGAAATTGAAAACGTCTCAAAAAATCAGAACCAAGCCACCATAATCGAAAAAACCACCATAATCGAAATAAAATCGTGAGCAAAATTGAATTTTTTTAGAAGAATTGAAAAGCTAACAAATGAGTTGTTCTTTCAAGAACTACTAAAAATCATGTTTCGACTTTTTAATGTAATACATCAAAATTATGCTACAGGACTTTTTTTTAGATTAAATCAAGCTTTTCTTCATAAGTATTCATTTCTGGATTCTGTCAAACAAAGACGATTGAAAATTGACCACAAATATTGCACAGGCGAAACTGTATTTCGCGAACATAAGCAAAAACTACAAAACGGCAAACAGGAGCCTCAGATAATTCAACAAAATATTTTAAAAAATCAGACGTTGGAAAAATACAACTAGCTAACAACTGGAATCGAATTACTGATCTTCAAATATCAAGCATTCGTCTTTCTGACAGAGCCAACTGCCTTTACTGCTTAAAGAGTTTGTAAAGCATTTAATACTAAATAGCTGAGTGAATGATAGTATAGATGGCGAAACTTTCAATCTAAACGAACAAGACTGCTCGTATAGCAGGACAAAGCCCTGAATGGTCCGACTGTCCCTTAATTCATATCGAATAGTTTTAGGGAAAAGACAATATTGAAAACCTATAATTTTTGGACTAAATCAAAGTGTGAAATAATGAGTCGTACAAAAATAATACGACCAATTTGCTAGCCTCAATTCAATTTGAAACGATTTTTCTGTGTCGTATAATTCGCCACGCATAAAAATTTTGCGTTACGCTCTCAGCAATATGAAGTAATTCTTCAAAGCGCGCATAATTTAGTCCAGAATATGGCCAATTTGGCAACTTTCAAACGCCAGAACTTTACAAAAAAAATCGGGGGGTAAAATATTTTTTTTTACATTCGAACTCAGGAAGTCGATACCTTCAATCGGGTATAAAAAAGTTTTGTCGAAAACTATTTTTTCGATCGGCGAAAATTGACAGAACAAAAAAACCACACCGAGCATAAATATTCCGTTTTCTTCGAAAGTCGGAACGATAAATCCACTAGGCAACGCTCGAAGAGACCGTGTAAAGCTTCATTTGCCACTATTGCAGACGAAATAGTCAGCATATCCGGAGAACATGGTTGTGAATAAATTTCAATAGAGGAAAAATTGAGAAAAATAATCCAAAATTTTGATATAACAAACCATATATGATACTAAATCAACCCATAGCTTTCAAGCTACCACAACATTTTTTTTGCAAGAAACCAATAGCCCTCACAGATTGTGGTAGATTTTAAAAAGGCTTCGCTTTTCATGTATTCAATGGAATAAAAATAAAATAATGCGGAGCTCGACTTTGAACTCAGCATCGCTGCTTTATGCTATAAAATTGCCGACAAAATGACTACTACCCCTGTATTGGAATACGTTGATTATTTTGATACAACTTGGGTTATAACTATTTTTCGAGGACGCAGGGCGTGTAATTCCCTATTTTACTATAGAAGCAGATCGAAAACGCCAAAAATCGAAGACACAAAATCAACAATTCGGTCGAGGGATGGCACACGGCTTCTAGATGGGTATGATGTATGCTCACCCTACCATTCTTGAAATTCTCAAAATCTTCAGAAAAGAGCAGTCTGTGTTAGAACAAATTGATCAGGCAAACTGAAGGAGGTGCGCCAAAATGGCAAAATACGAAAAAAGCTAGTCAACTCCTTGAGGGCCTCTCGTTCAATGCTGATTTTTAATTTCGTTGTTGTTAAATAACCCTTTCGTCTGCATTCTTTAGATCTAATCAAAGAATTTACTACTAATTATCGCCTGCTACGAAAAGTCTCTTTTTACAAACGCTACGAATGGTCGCTTGCGACGAATTGTCGCCATGCCGTATCGTTATCTGAGTCTGCAATTCGACATC